ATAGAAAATCTTTACTTGAATGAGAAAGAACTTATTTTTTGTTTCATATATACCAAACATAAGTTATGTACATGGGTGGATCCACATATAGCATATCGAGTGTTTGAGTATTCATTAATTTTGACGTAACCTCATATATTTATTATATACAAACATTTATAAGATGGATATATCAAATCATTAGCATTAGTGGCGGAGCCAGGATGTTCGCTAAGGGAGTTTGAAATATAAAGTAATAAATACGTGAGATGGGAAAGAAAAATATTAATCTTAACTCGCTAAATTTAACTTGTCTTTTTATGCCGCGTTTAGGCTCTTCTTACTTTTTACCCTGCTCCATCGAGTTTTTTTTTTCAAATTCTTGTGCTCTTTTTTCTTTAAGTTTTGTCATGTTTTATTTTTTTATATTTTTTTATTTAAAAAAATCGAAATTAGTGCCTTTTCAATCATATGTTACTATAAAAATCACCAAAAAATTTTAAAGGGATGAAAATTGACATATTTAGAAAATAAATAAATGACGTCATCTTTTTTTAGATCAATTAATTCAATTTACTAGGTTAGTCATTTGTAAAAAAACAAATGATCAATAAATCAAATAAGATTAGTTTAATTTTCATCTCCTTAGAATAAAATTGAAAAAAAATACAATGAAATTAAAGAAAGAAATTAAATTAAATAGATTTTGTTTAAAAAACTATTCACAATTTTAATAATTCTTCGTTCGGTTAAATTTAATTTACTTTATTATATATAAATATTTTTTCTAACTCAATTTAAAATTTAATAAAATTTTATCGTTTCTTCAACTTAGTACACATAAAGAAAACTATGTAGAAACAAAATAAAAAATATAAATAAGAAGAATCTAAAAGAAAAATTTACAAAGAATGTGGCTAATAAATTTAAACAAAGACAAATTGAAAAAAGAAAAAGAAATAGCATAAAAAGAAAATAATGAAATATAAAAAGGATAAAGCTTCACATTGAACCAATGAGGCCTTTTCATTTGTTTGGGAATCTGGGCCCAAAACTTCTCAGCCCTTTTAAAGCATAAAAAAAAGATGAAAAACACTATTGCGCTTGATGAGATTCGAACTCAGCCCTTCCAGGTGGAACTTGAACCCCTTGATTATTCCGCTATCCTTCTCTTTAGTGTTGAGGGGATTCATTTTAATTAATATACCCATAAAACTAGAATTTGACCTTACATATACAGTGTAATTTTTTCGCGGGGGTTCGGGTTCGGGTAAACCCCCTCGGTTCCACATAGTTTCGCCCCTGATTAGCACCCATTTAGGGCCTGTTTGGAAGGACACCCAGGTAATTGGATTTGGTGTAATTGGGTGTAATTACACTGTTTATCCTGTTTGGTTGGACATGTAATTACTTGGTCATCAGGTAATTGGTGTAATTGGCAAGGGTAATTACACTCTACAATTCACAGGGAGAGGCTGTGAATTGCTGATAAGTACACCATGTAATTCCAGCTGATTACTTTTTAATTATTATTTTTTTATTTCTATTTTTTGTTTTAATTTTTTTTAGGGATAAGGGTCTGAAAAATACCCAACTTTGGTCGAATTTGATGTTGCGATACTAAACTTTCATGATGACCTATTACCTCCATAGACTATTTAATACCGTATTTTAAACATATATATTTGCCCACGTGGACATAAAAAATAATGCAAAATTATAAATAGTAATGTGTTCACGTGGGCACATATATACCTTTAAAATACACTATTAAATAGTTCAGGGGGTAAAAAATACGGTATTAAATAGTATAGGGAGGTAATAGGTCCTCATGAAAGTTTAGTATCGCAACAACAAATTCGACCAAAGTTGGGGTATTTTTCAGACCCTTATCCCTTTTTTTTACTTCTATTATTTTAAGTTCTTTTTTTATTTTTATTATTCTAAAAATTTGTAAAAGTTTATTTTTTATTTTATATTATTATATTTCATTTTCTTCTTGTTCTCAACCTTACTTTACGTGATTCTATGCAATTTTTTCATATTAAGAGACAATAGGTTAAACTCCTTCATGTACTTTCTCATAGAAATTTTGGAAAAACCCTGTTTCAGATTCTTAAACTTATTTATGAATTCCGCTTCAACATCACCTGGTAGAAATTAATCCTTAAACTTCAGAACTTCTTGTTCTTCGTAGCGCTTCTCCTCCAGCTCCCTCTTCTGTCGTACATGTGCTCACCATAAACCTGCGTTTTTGTTTTCTTCAACTTCTCTTTATGTCATGCTTATTTTCTCATTAGCATAATTTTATTAGTATTATAATTTTTAAATTAAAATAGAATTTATTGTTAAGTAAGGTTATAGACCTACGTTTTCTTTATTAAAAAAAAAATCATATTTATGCATGCTATGTTGAAATTTGTTATAAGAGTATTATGTTAAATTTTTTGTTTTGAATTTATAACTTATGTTATATTTTCAGTTTAATTTGTTTTAGTAATATTGAATTCACATTGCACGTCATTTTTTAATTAGACTTGATAGATTATATTTTTGTCAAATATTTAATAATTTATGACATTTTATTTATATATTAATCTTTTTATCAAACATGCATTTCACGATGTTCATAGAAACTTCATACTTTTAGTTTTTACGATCAATTCAATTGAAATATATTAATTTGAAAAAATATAAATTAATTATTTTTTTCATAATATTAGTTAAAGAAAATATGTTTATTAATTATTGTATTTTCAAAAAAGAATATATATCTTAAATATTTAATTTAATGTCATTTATAAAGTTTCTTATTTGTCTTGTATAAATTTTAAATAATTAATTTTTATTTTTAAAATTTAATGTAATTTTATGATTGCAATTGTGCATCCAAACAGAACATGCGTAATTACACTGTGACATCCAAACAGGACATGTGTAATTACACTGTGGCAACCAAACAGGTCAGTGTAATTACTAGACAGTGTAATTATTAGGCTGGTAATTACTACCCTAGTAATTACACCAATTCCAATTACCAGGTGGCTTTCCAAACAGACCCTTATTGATTTTTTTATGGATGTTTTGGTTTGTCAGCTGACTTAAAGGCCTTCTTTTTGAGATAAGCGCAGGTTTCGAACCCAATTACTACAAAATATTTATTTATAGCTAAATATATTTATACTTTATTTATTTACTTTATGCTAAAAGAAGTGAGCACTCACAAGCTTAAAATCCTAAATTCGTCATCAATTATGTGAAAGGCAAAAATCGTAAGTGGACATCTAAACCAGTCTAGGTCTTTCACTTTGATGCTAGAACTTGAATTTTCTTTTATTGAATACTTTGAATGATTGATCGTGATTGTATTATTTTTTATTTTTTTACCCTCCCTAGGAGCTCCCACCCATTTTGCTCCCTTGGTGACTCGAACTCGCAACCTTCAGGTTGGAAGTGAGGGGTGCTTACCATCCAAGCAACTCCCTCTCGTCTCGTAATTGTATTATTTGTTGTTGTTATGGCTTTTTTTTTTCATTTTTTTCAGTCTAGCATCTTAATTGTTGTATTTGCTTTACATATTTTTTTTTGTTTAAAAACGGGCTAGCATTGGTGTGCCGCACACAAGAGGAGCTTCTCAAGATACGGTAAGATATGTTCTTATTTGGACATCTTGTGGGCTACTGAATTTATGTTCTTAATTTCTTGACGTGGATATTGGCAGGAATTGATTGAAACTATAGCATGGGCTCACGAACGCACATCTTTGGCCAATTTGATTCGATGGAGAGATAAATCAGTGGCCCTGAATTATTTATTTTATAAATTTTTTTCTGGAATAAATCATGAATTTTCTAGGACATTATGTCTGCACATCATCCTCAACGCCTAATTATAAGGTTATACAAGTATTATAGTTTTAGTTGGATGGTAAAGTTGACATTTTGTTTGAATAAGCAATTTGAATTTTGAACATGAAAACCTATGTGAAAATTATCTCTTCAACTCTTATATATTTTTATCAAATGAACAAATCATAATATCAAAATATTTTAAAATTTCGCATGTTCTTTTTTATAAATAAATATTTGCGATTACATGTTATTGTAAGCTTTCAAATACATATAATTTTATAAAGATCTATTTGTCCAATTAATCAATATTAGTAACTAGTTATTTTTACCTCTTGCATGGTACATATAGTATTTCCTCGTCAAATATGAGTCTTTTTTGTGAAAATTTAAATTATTGATTCTTTATATATATAACTTATGAATAAAGTTTTAATGTTTTAAAAAAAAATCATATATTTGGAATTGAAATATTATCTTTTAGGAAATTTGAGATTTGTAATAAAATTCCCTAATTGAAATTAAATTTCTATTAAAAAGCAAGAACAAACTGCTACTATATATTAGGTTCGAATAACAAGCTCCTTTGGGAACTTTCTTACATAGAAACTTCATGTAAATATCATGAAATAAGTTGATTCATTTAAACTACAAATAAAGTGAGCAAACTTACATTACACGTAATTATTTAAAATAATTTTGCATATTTTTTTCATATGGATTATTTTTTTGTACATTGTCATTATATTTTGATTCTCTACAACATCGCAAAATGCGTGATAAATATTTATGAACAACATTTAAATAAGAAGGGGAATGTGTGACATGTGAGGAATTGTGCTACATGCTTTGAATATAAGGAATCGTTTGGTACATAAATTAAAGGGAAAAAGGACAAATATACCCCCGAACTTTCAAAAATGGTATGTATATACCCTTCGTTATACTTTGAGACTGTATATACCCTTGTCGTCCAATAATCAATGCACATTTACCCTTCCCACTAACGGCACACTCTTTATGTACACGTGGCGCAATCCTAAGCCATTATCCAATTGACCAATTTTTTTTAACCCAATTCCTAAGAACCCGCCCATGACCCAATACCACCAAATTTATGGGTAAAATATACTCTCTAAAATTTAAAGAAAAGACTCAAATCCTAGGAAGCGATTAGATTGGTGAGATCAAGAAGGAGAGGCCGAAGACAGTGAATTGGGGCTTCGTCGAGTTCAGGACCAGCAGGAAAAATAGAAAAGAAAAGCATAGGAAGTGATTAGATTGGTGGGTTTCATTAGATGACGGAAAAAAATGTGAAGGAGGAGAAGAGGAGGCCTGCAAGGGAGGTGGAGGTGAGCGTACACAATAAGGCAATGGTGATGGAGGAGGTGGAGATGGTGGGGGTAGTGGCGGTGAATAAACAGGTGGTGGAAGTGATGGCGGTGGCGGTGGAGAAGGAGATGGAGTTGGTAGTGGCAGTGAATAGACTGGTGGTGGAGGAGGTGGAAAGGGTGGTGGTGGCGGTGGTGAATAAAATGGAGGTGGAGGAGGTAGTGGTGAAGGTGAAGGAGGAGTATAAATTGGTGGCGGAGGCGAATAAACAGGTGGCGGAGAAGGAAAAATAGGCACCACAACAGGCGAAGGAGGGGCAGGCAACGGCGGTGAAAGTGGTGGTGGAGATGGCAAAACAGGAACAAATTTATGACACCTAAAAGCACTACAATGAATTTTTTTAGACAAAAACGCCTTATACTGTCCCGAAGACCGTTGCACCGGTATTTTGGGCAAACAATTCCGTTCATCATGAAACTCCGGCAACCCCAAATACACCGGCGGTTCACCAGTGAAGAAATTATAAGTATATGTAAAATTCTGAAGCTTAGGAAGCTGACAAATACTTTTTGGAATTGTTCTAGAAAGCATATTATGTGCCACATTCAATTGCTCTAAATTCTCCAAATCACCTAAAAGTGGTGGCATCAGTAGCACTCCAAGCATGAGAGGAACTGTATGTTATGTTGCACCAGAATACGGTAGCTGTGGGGATTTATCTGAAAAGTGTGACGGGGACACCCATGTCCGAATTTCGGCGTGCTAATCTTCTCTCTTGGGCATGTCTGAATTCCAGCTATGGGGTGCTGATTTTGGGTCTTTTCCTTAGATTTAAATTGGGTGGGTTTATTGGGTCATGGGCGGGTTCTTAGGAATTAGGTTAAAAAAAATTGGTCAATTGGATAATGGCTTAGGATTGCGCCATGTGTACAGAAAGAGTGTGTCGTTAGTGGGAGGGGTAAATATGCACTGATTATTGGACGGCAAGGGTATATACAGTCTCAAAGTATAACGAAGGGGTATATACATACCATTTTTGAAAGTTCGGGGGTATATTTGTCTTTTTTCCCTAAATTAAATTATCTTAAAATTATAATTTCTGAATTAATAATTTCAATGTTAAAATTATACTTAATTATAAGATATTCACCTTATCCGACGTATTAAATAATCACTAAAATACTATATCTGGTTAAATATTGTAATATTTGCTTATAATTTATTTTTACCCATATACCTTATAACATCATGACAAATTTTATTTTTAAAAAAATTAGTTTACAAATCGTGTACGATAAGCAAACAAATTAACTAATTTACCTATATAACCAGTACGTGTCAAATTATGGCGGGATTTCTATACCGTTAATTAGTTTATCTCAAGTTTGAGTCTATAAAAATGAGAGAGAAATCATGTAGACCGAGCCATTCATCAAAATAAGTTCAATACACGAATTTAAATTTAATTTAACCTCAATATACTATAATCAGATGAAAAATCAAAAAATAAAATGAAATATACTATAGACTATAGTACTTAACCAAACAGTTCTTATGCAGCAGGGAGCAGGCTTATAAAACTCCCTAAAGTGCATCTGTGACAGTCAACCCTGGCCACATCAACAGCCTCTATGGACCCTTGCTCCCCACCCACCCCCCATCTCAACAATCCCTAAAAGTTTGCTCCTTTACCATTTTCTTCTTGTTTTTTCCTCCCCCATCAAAATTTTCTGTGCCGTTTATAAGCTTTTAGAACATTGAACAGCCAAATTTGTTGAGCAAGAATTGATCTTTCCCTACTTAAAGGTAATGGGGTTTTTATTTCAGAAAGAATCTTGGAAAAAGATTGTGTTTTTTTATCGATTTTGATTGTTTTTATGTACAATTGTTAGGAGAAAGATTGAAACTTTTGATGATTTTGATTTCCTTCAAAGAATCTTGGAAAAAGATTGTATTTTTATGAACAATTGTTAGGAGAATGTATGAACCTTTTGATGGTTTTGATTTCTTACAAGGAATATTCGTAAAAGATTGTTTTTTATTGTTTTTATGAACAATTGTTAGGAGAATGATTGAACCTTTTGATGGTTGTGATTGTCTACAAAGAATTTTGGAAAGAGATTGTATTTTTTATTGGTTTTGATTGTTTTTATGGAAAATTGTTTGGAGAATGATTGAACCTTTTGATGGTTTTGATTGTCTACAAAGAATCTTGGAAAGAGATTGTATTTTTATTGGTTTTGATTTCCTACAAAGAATCTTGGTAAAAGATTGTTTTTTATTGGTTTTGATTGTTTTTATGAACAATTGTTAGGAGAATGATTGAACCTTTTGATGGTTTTGATTGTCTACAAAGAATCTTGGAAAGAGATTTTATTTTTATTGGTTTTGATTGTTTTTATGGAAAATTGTTTGAAGAATGATTGAACCCTTTGATGGTTTTGATTTCCTACAAAGAATCTAGGGAAAATATGGTATTTTTATTGGTTTTGATCATTTTTATGAAAAATTTGTTAGGAAAATGATAGAACCTTTTGATGGTTTTGATTTTCTACAAAGAATCTTGGGAAAAGATTGTATTTTTATTGGTTTTGATTGTTTTTATGAACAATTGTTAGGAGTAAGATTGAACCTTTTGATGGTTTCTGATTCCTACAAAAAATATCTTGGGAAAAGATTGTATTTTTATTGGTTTTGATTGTTTTTCTGGAAAATTGTATGGAGGATGATTGAACCCTTTGATGGTTTTGATTTCCTACAAAGAATCTTGGAAAAAGATTGTATTTTTATTATTTTTGATCATTTTTATGAAAGAATTGTTAAGAAAATGATTGAACCTTTTGATGGTTTTGATTTCCTACAAAAAATATCTTGGGAAAAGATGGTATTTTTATTGGTTTTGATCATTTTTATGAAAAAATTGTTAGGAAAATGATTGAACCTTTTGATGTTTTTGATTTCCTACTAAGAATCTTGGAAAAATATTGTATTTTTATTGGTTTTGATTGTTTTTATGGAAGTTGTTAGGAGAATGATTGAACCTCTTGATGGTGTTGATTTCCTACAAAGAATCTTGGATAAAGATTGTATTTTTATTGGTTTTGATTATTTTATGGAAATTGTTAGAAGAATGATTAACCTTTTAGATGGTTTTGATTTTCTACGAAGAATCTAGGGAAAAGATTGTATTTTTTTGGTTTTGATGTTATGGTATTTTGAGTTAATTTGATTCCTATATGTGGGTCAATACTCAAATGTGCTTTCTTTTTGTTGATTCTTTCAATTGTGGCAGAGGTGTAATCCATTTGTGTGATGAGGCTCCAACTCTGGTGACGAATGGAAGATTCCGGCCTGACATTGATCTCTTGTCTGTTGTTATAATAAATTGGAACTCTCATGATGTCGTGGTTCAATCGCACAGGAATCAATTTGATTAACTGCTTCTTTCATTTTGCTGAATGGCATCCGATTGAATAACAAAGTTGAACGCGGGTGGATGCCCGAATAGCGTTTTCCTCTTTTTAAGGTTGTTATCTGCTTTCGTTTTCAATTATGTGCTTTTGACATACAGTATATATTTCCTATTATCAGCTTTGTTGAACCAATGAATATGAGAGTGTTGGTTTCAGTGTTATCAAAGAAGCGCGCTTAAGCCAGGAAGCAAGACTCAATACTTGTTGAGCACTTCGCCTCACTTAATGTGCACTTCATTGTCTTTTTCAAGGTTCTAAGGCATTCTTTTCCTTGCCAGTGAGCCTACACTAAATAATTGATATTTCACTTTATCGTAATTCTTTTTCAATTTCCTTGTTTACATATTTGTTTTTTCATGCCTATAGGCTATAACTATTAGTCTTGGACTAAACATATATATTTGTACTTTTTTCTCTCTGCGGCTTTTTTCATTAAAGTCCATGCTTTATTTGCACTTTGCACTTAAAGCCCCATTGGACCTTAGAGTTTTTTTTTGCCTTTTGCTTTTGATAACACTGGTTTGGCTTATCATTTCGTTGTTGTCTAGTTGATTGATGTTAATAAGAGGTGTATGCTAATTTTCAGGTTCTTGAATCAAATTGTTCGATTGTGCTGTATATTAGTGTACTCCACTGGGACGTATTTTCTGTTGTTTTGGATCTGTGATGATGCATTCTGTTGATGAAGTTACAGAAATGGGGTGCTGTGGATGTTTTGGATTCTCTTTTGCAAGAAAACCAAAAAAGGTAATTAGGCCCAATAGGGGATATGGAAACAACTGGTCACATGAACCATTGTTACAACAAGAGGTTGAAGAAGTTGAAGATGATGGCTTTGATAGTGGCGATATAATTGATACTGGTACTGAGGATGATGAAGTGTGTCACAGCCCGGTTAAACGTTCTGAAGAGATTCTCATGGAAAGAGCTCAGAATGGGTTAATTTGCAGGGAGATCCCCGTCAAGGAAACACACAAAGTTGTGCGCACAGAGGTAATAGCAGAAAAACTCTTTCTTACATTCGCTGTGAAAATCCTCTACTCATATAATTGAGACATGGATAGCTCAGACATACGTTTGTACAAGGATCACTAGTTTTGATTTATCAGGGGAAAAAAAAGGGAGGTGTAACTTGACTGTTTTCCTCTGTTGTCTTTTCGATTCAGGATGAAGATGGGAACAAGATGGTTAACGAATATGTCCGTGAACAGAAAATTGGCTCTGGTAGCTACGGTAAAGTGGTGAGCTCAAAGATATCAATGTTATCTTTCTTTCTTTTTTTCGGTTGGAGGGATAAAAGTTGACATCTGATCACGTTGGGATGGCACAGGTACTTTATAGAAGTTGCACTGATGGAAAACATTATGCCATTAAGGTAAAATTTCTAACATATCCAGTTAGCATCGGGGAATTTACTTGGTCACTATATTTACTTAGGTTAATTGTACTAGTGGTATTCCCATATCAGAAAGCTAAATTGTTTCTTTACTTTTCCGATGAAGTTTAAACGCTAGATGTTGAGAGTGGGATTTGAAGCTTATGTTTCTTTACTTAGTGCTAGGAGTTTTTTTGTATTGTAGTATTCTTAATGGAGTTACATTTAGGTTTTTACTATTGTATTTATACTGGCATCTAGGGTATCTGATGTTGATTTTGGAGTTATATTTTTGAATAATCACCAAGCAGACTGCCCATTCCAATTCATTCATAGATACATCATACATGTAAGGGATAATTAGGTAGTTGAATTACTCTATGCTAGGGAAAATTGTACTTAGGATTGTGGAGAAACAGCTGGAAAAGGGAAGTGGACATTAACACAGAGTCGCAGACAATTTTGTCCGCAAAGAACAATTAGTGTTGTTACTTGTTAGTCATTGAGTACAGGCTTGATTAAAGTTGTCAAATAGTGATAATGTTTGTTTTCATTGAATGCAGGCCTTTCACAAGTCTCACTTATTAAAGATGCGGGTGGCGCCTTCAGAAACTGCTATGGGTGATGTTCTTCGTGAGGTATGTCCTTTATTTCTTCCCTTGAGTTTCAATCCTCCTTTTGTGGGTTATCCGCAAAATTTATCCTGTAGCATTAGCTATTTGTCTGCTGAATTGTTATTTTTCTGTCCCGAAGTTTGTCAATGTTAATTCTCGTCACTTACAGGTTTCGATCATGAAAAT